CTGCGAAGTAGGAGAAGGCGGGATTATATTCTGGAACAACAACATTTTTTAGGCTTTTTTTCCTACATTTTGACCTGGTGACCCCGGCAGAAATTCACTTCCTGTCTTGGGGTGACAACGCTCACTGCATTGTATCTACAGCGGAGCAGCGTTGTCACTGTGGTGTCTTAGAACTGCAGAAATCTCAGTGTTATCAAGCCATGCTCGGGTCACCTCCGAGGACTACAGAACACCTCCCCCTATGTTATAGATAAGGAAAGGGGGAGGTGTCCTGTAGTCCTCAGCCGTGACAGACTTACATATGCTAAAATAACCCTCAAAATACTCACCTATATTAGAGAAATTGTTCCTTCTGGACCCCCCCAAATCTGCTCATGTGTCCTACAACCAGTCAGTGGGAAGGTCCTCATCAGAGTCCCCCCCTTACTTCAGGGTCCCCAACAGAATCCCCTTCAGGGTCCCCACTGGTTTCAGAATGCCATCAGAGTCTCCCCTTACAGAGTCTCCGCTTACTTTAGGGTCCCCATCAGAGTCCCCCCTTAGTTTAGGGTCCCCAGAGTCCCCCCCGTACTTCAGAGTCCCCAACAGAATCCTCTTCAGGGCCCCACTGGTTTCAGAATGCCATCAGAGCTCCCCTTACTTTAGTGTTCCCATCAGAGCCCCCAATCTCAGTGTCCCTTTCAGAGTCCTCCCTTATTACAGGTTCCCCATCAGAGTCTCCCCTTACATCAGAGTCACCCTTACAGAGTCTCCCCTTACTTTGGGGTCCCCAAAGTCCTCTCTTATTTTAGGGTCCCCATCAGAGTCCCCCTCCCCCCTTACTTCAGAGTTCCCAACAGAATTCCCTTCAGGGCCCCACTGGTTTCAAAATGCCATCAGAGTTCCCCTTACTGTAGTGTCCCCATCAGAGCCCCCAATTTCAGTGTCTCTTTCAGAATCCTCCCTTATTACAGGTTCCCCGTCAGAGTCTCCCTTTACACCAGAGTTGCCTTTACAGAGTATCCCCTTACTTTAGGGTCCCCAATCAGAGTCCCCTCTTACTTTAGGGTCCCCATCAGAGTCCCCCCTTACTTTAGGGTCCCCAGAGTCCCCCCCCTTACTTCAATGGTCCCCAACAGAATCCCCTTCAGGGCCCCACTGGTTTCAGAATGCCATCAGAGCTCCCCTTACTTTAGTGTTCCCATCAGAGCCCCCAATCTCAGTGTCCCTTTCAGAGTCCTCCCTTAATACAGGTTCCCCATCAGAATCCCCACTTCTTTTCATTAGCATCCCCATCAGAGTCACCCCTTACATCAGAGTCACCCTTACAGAGTCTCCCCTTACTTTAGGGTCCCAGAGTCCTCTCTTATTTTAGGGTCCCCATCAGAGTCCCCCCTTACTTTAGGGTCCCCAGAGTCCCCCCCCCCCTTACTTCAGAGTTCCCAACAGAATCCCCTTCAGGGCCCCACTGGTTTCAGAATGCCATCAGAGTTCCCCTTACTGTAGTGTCCCCATCAGAGCCCCCAATTTCAGTGTCCCTTTCAGAATCCTCCCTTATTACAGGTTCCCCATCAGAGTCTCCCATTACATTAGAGTCGCCCTTACAGAGTATCCCCTTACTTCATGGTCCCCAACAGAATCCCCATCAGAGCCTCCCCTTACATCTGAGTCCCCCCTTACTTAAGGGGCCCCATCAGAGTCCCCCCTTACTGTAGGGTCGCCATCAGAGTCCCCCCTTACTTTAGGTCCCCACTGGTTTCAGAATGCCATTAGAGCTCCCCTTACTGTAGTGTCCACATCAGAGCCCCCAATCTCAGTGTCCCTTTCAGAGTCCTCCCTTATTACAGGTTCCCCATCAGTCTCCCCTTACATCAGAGTCCTCCTTACTTTAGGGTCCCCAGAGTCCCCCCCTTACTTCAGAGTTCCCAACAGAATCCCCTTCAGGGTTCCCACTGGTTTCAGAATGCCATCAGAGCTCCCCTTACTTTAGTGTTCCCATCAGAGCCACCAATCTCAGTGTCCCTTTCAGAGTCCTCCCTTAATACAGGTTCCCCATCAGAGTCCCCACTTCTTTTCATTAGCATCCCGATCAGAGTCTCCCCTTACATCAAAGTCCCCCTTACTTCAGGGTCCCAACATAATCCCCTTCAGGGCCCCCACTGTTTCAGAATGCAATCAGAGCTCCCCCTACTTTAGTGTTTCCCATCAGAGTCCCCTCCTTACAAAGGGATCTCAATCAGAGCCGCTCCTTACTTTAGGGTCCCCGTCAGTATTCCCCCCCCCCAATCATTGTGCTCTCCTACTGTGAGGAAAGGGGGGAGCAGAGGCTGTGAACATAAACTGCGGACCAGCAAATAAAATCCATATGTGGCCCGTGGGCCGAAGTTTGGGGGCCTCTGATGTCATCAGATTCATGATGATTGGGAAACGCTGACTGATAGATGTCCGCACATCGATGGAATCACGGGAGACTTCGATCGATCAGAACGGATATGGGAGCAGAATCCAAACTATGGAGCATCCAGACGACGTGTGTCTCAATATTCATACATTGTATTGCCTCTGAGATTCGGGTTATAATTCATATATTGTATCATTTCCTCCTAAATTCGGGTTACAATTTATACATTTCCTCCGAAATTGGGGTTACAATTCATACATTGTATCATTTCCTCTGAAATTTGAATTCATAGATTGTATTATTTTCTCTGAAATTCGGGTTACAATTCATATATTTCCTCTGAAATTCGGGTTACAATTCATATATTGTATCATTTCCTCCGAAATTCGAGTTACAATTCATATATTTCCTCCAAAATTTGGGTTACAATTCATACATTGTATCATTTTCCTCCTAAATTCGGGTTAGAATTCATACATTGTACCATTTCCTCTGAAATTCGGGTTACAATTCATTTATTTCCTCTGAAAATTTGGGAATTCATACATTGTATCATTTCCTCTGAAATTCAGGTTACAATTCATACATTGTATCATTTCCTCTGGAATTCGAGTTACAATTCATACATTTCCTCTGAAATTCGAGTTACAATTCATACATTTCCTCTGACATTCGGGTTACAATCATATATTTCCTCCAAAATTTGGGTTAGAATTCATACATTGTATCATTTCCTCTGAAATTCAGGTTAGAATTCACATTGTATCATTTCCTCTGAAATTCGGGTTAAATTCATAGATTGGATCCTTTCCTTCTGAAATTCGGGTTAGAATTCATACATTGTATCATTTCCTCTGAAATTTGAGTTACAATTCATATATTTCCTCTGAAAATTCAAATTCATAGTTGTATCATTTCTTCTGAAATTCGAATTGAATTCATAGATTGTATCGTTTCCTCTGAAATTTCAAGTTATGCTTCATACATTGTATAGTTTCCTCTGAAATTCAGGTTAGAATTCATAGATTGTATCATTTCCTCTGAATTTGGGTTACAATTATACACTGTATCGTTTCCTCCAAAATTCGGGTTACAATTCATACATTGTATCCTTTTCCTCCTAAATTCGGGTTATAATTCATACATTGGATCCTTTCCATCCTAAATTGGGTTACAATTCATATATTGTATCATTTCCATCTGAAATTCGGGTTACAATTCATATTGTATCGTTTCCTTCTGAAATTCGGGTTACAATTCATACATCGTATCGTTTCCTCTGAATTTCGGGTTACAATTCATACATTGTATCGTTTCTTCCGCAGTCCGGGTTAGAATCCAGAACGCAGTTTCTCCTTTAGTGGACGCTCGCGGTGCAGCACACCAGGAGGCGGCGGGTCCCCGGGAGGCGGCAGGTCCCTGGGAGAGCGCGGCGGGTCCCCGGGAGAGTGCGGCGAGCTCCAGGTATCCAATCCGAGGAACATTCGAGCCGTCTAGTTTTTTATTTTTGGCGCACACGCGGCCAGGGTGTGTCAGGAAGGCATCGCCGTGCATTAGTCATCCCTTCCTGAGCCGCGTGGATAGAGCCCAGCTTGCTGCGGCATAAAGAGCGCTCTGATTCCTTCTATTTACATTCCATGGAAACAGGAACCTTCGATCAGCACCGAGCGCACAATCCCGCCAGGACTGGGAGCTGCAGGCGTGCGATGAGGACTTGCTGCTTAAACGCCAATTATTGAGCCCTTAAAAAAAAAAACGCATTAACCCTTCCGGCTGCCATGCCTCCCATTTCCCCCCCCCCCATGTACTTCACTGGACCTAAAGCGGAACTCCAGCCAGAATAGATGGCCCATTAAAAGATACAATAACCCCGAGAATTCTCCTGCAGCCCCTTTTTCTGCCGCTAGATGTCCTCATGTCTAATAGTCAGCATTCTTCAACCCATTTCCTCTGAGCCCAGGACATCCCGGACGAGCCCCCATCCTGGGACTGGGCAGTGAAAGGAGAAGCAGCACAGCGGTGAGCTCCACCCTTTGCCGCTCTGCTGTCTCTTCCGATTGGGCTGCTTCTTGTCAGCACAGGAACTGATTGGCTCCTTGTGCTGCTTTGTCCTCTCACAATCCAGCCCTGCTGTACAGGGACTGCAGAAGACGGATACTCGGTCACATTCGGGTGATTACAAATACAAATTTAAAAAAAATAGATTGAATGGTGAATTCATGATTACAGAGCTGCTTTATTGGATGGATTTTATATCTGCCTGGAGATGTAGCTTTAACCTCTTGGCCGCGCGCGAATGTGCAGCCTCCTGGAGTCCCCTTACATCAGAGTCCCCCTTTACTTTAGGGTCCCCAGAGTCCCCCCCTGACTTCAGGGTCCCCAACAGAATCCCCTTTAGGGTCCCCACTGGTTTCAGAATGCCATCAGAGCTCCCCTTACTTTAGTGTTCCCATCAGAGCCCCCAATTTCAGTGTCCATTTCAGAGTCTTCCCTTATTACAGATTCCCCATCAGAGTCCTCGCTTTTTTTCATTAGGGTCCCCATTAGAGTCTCCCCTTACATCAGAGTCGCCCTTACAGAGTCTCCCCTTACTTTAGGGTCCCCAGAGTACCCCCCTTAC